AATTTTTTGTACGTTTAGTAGAGATGGGTTTTACCATGTTGGGCCAGGCTGGTCTTGATCTCTTGACCTCAGGTGATCTGCCCACTTCAGTCTCCCAAAGTGCTGGGATTACACGTGTGAGCCACCATGCCCACCCCTCTTTTCTTCTTTTTAAAGATAGGGTCTCACTGTGTTGCCCAGGCTGGAGTGTAGTAGTGCAATCATAGCTCACAGCAGCCTCAATCTCATGGGCTCGAGCGATCCTCCTGCCTCAGCCTCCTGAGAAGCTACACGCCACCACCATGACTGGCTAATTTTTTTTTCTTTGAGATGGAGTCTCGTACTGTTGCCTGGGCTGGAGTGCAATGGCACAATCTTGGCTCACTGCTACCTCTGCCTCCCAGGTTCAAACGATTCTCCTGCCTCAGCCTCCTGAGGAGCTGAGATTACAGGTGCCTGCCACCATGCCCAGCTAATTTTTTGTATTTTTAGTAGAGACAGGGTTTCGCTATGTTGGCCAGCCTGGTCTCGAACTCCTGACCTCATAATCTGCCCCCCTCAGCCTCCTAAAGTGCTGAGATTACAGGCTTGAGCCACTGCATCCGGCCAACTGGCTAATTAAAAAAAAAATTTTGTAGAAATTAAAAAAACATTGTGGTGGTGTATACTTGTAGTCCTAGCTACTCAGGAGGCTGAGGCACAAGAACCACTTGAACCCAGGAGGCGGATGTTGCAGTGAGCTGAGATGGCATCGATGCACTCCAGCCTGCACAGCAGAGTGAGACTCCATCTCAAAAAACAAAAGGAAACTAAAAAAATAATTTTTTTAACCCCAAGGATTACAGGCATGAGCGACCGCACCTGGCCCTTCACACACCCTCTTTGCTCTTACATGGACTTCCTGTAGCCCTAATGCACTTCCTGTCTTCCTCTCCTACTTCCTGTCTTCCTCTTGCATTTCTGAGGACCGCTAGGTGCATGCCCTCAGGTTAGGCCCTAGGGTTGTTGGCATGCAGTGCCCCTCCCCTCAGCATCCTCTCTCATGGTCTTAGCCTACACTCACCTTCTCGGTGTCCTCCTTCTTCACTTGCTTCAGGTGGGCACGCAAGTCCAGGGACTCCTTAGCCCGGGTCCCCAGCAGCGCCTGCATCATGGCATCCGCAGAGATTCTCACTCTCCGCAGGGTGGGCCGCTTAAACTTGCCACGAAGGTCGAAGATCTTCTGGGTCAGATCTGCGATCTGGAGGCAGCCATACAGGGAGGTGAAGACATCTCCCTCCATTTCCCCCTCACCCAGCTCTTCCATCCTGCACTCCATTTTTATTCTCCTTATCCTGTCTTCCAGTACCAAAGCCTCATCCAGTATCTTCCCCGCCTAAGCTCCCAGTCTAACTTTTTTTTTTTTTTTTTTCCAGACAGAGTTTCACTCTTGTTGCCCAGGCTGGAGTGCAATGGCATGATCTCAGCTCACTCCAACCTCCGTCCCCTGGATTCAAGCGATTCTCCTGTCTCAGCCTCTGGAGTAGCTGGGATTACAGGCATGCACCACCAAGCCTGTGTTTTTACTAATTTTGTATTTTTAGTAGAGATGGGGTTTCTCCATGTTGGTCAGGCTGGTTTTGAACTCTCAACCTCAGGTGATCCACCCACCTTTGCCTGCCAAAGTTCTGGGATTACAGGTGTGAGCCAATGCACCCAGCCTTTTTTGTTGTTTGTTTGTTTTGGAGATGGAGTTTTGCTCTTGTTGTCCAGGCTAGAGTGCAATGGCTCGACTTTGGCTCACCGCAACCTCTGCCTCCTGGATTCAAGCAATTCTCCTGCCTCAGCCTCCCTAATAGCTGGGATTACAGGTATGTACCACCAAGCCCGGCTAATTTTTTATTTTTAGCAGAGACAGGGTTTGTCCATGTTGGTCAGGCTGGTCTCGAACTCCTGACCTCAGTTGATCTGCCTGCTTCGGCCTCCCGAAGTGCTGGGATTCAGGTGTGAGCCACCGCACCCAGCTCGTCCTCTCCCAGTCTAAGCTTCTAAGCCTGGAACTGAATCACCCTCCTAATGTACTCCAGCCTCACCTCTCAAAACCAGTGGTATAACTTGCATCAGCTACATGCAAATCACAATTCCCTGAGCCAATTTACCAACATGGGATGCCCTGAACATGTCCACTAACACATTTTCTGTTTCCCAGCCCGTGGCCTTGAATGTGCTGTTCCCTCTGCCTAGAACAGCTTTCCTTCACGATATCGCACTCATCCTTCTGCCCCAGCCCTGCCAGGCTCACGGTTGTCCTGGGTCTCCTGGGATGTGCAGCCGAAAGCAGCTGCAAGGGGTCAGGCTGAGACCAAGTCTCAGGCATCTCACCCTGCCCTGAAGGTACCCAAGCTGCGCATGCATCCCACCTCTGTGATGTTCTTGGTAACTTTTGCCTCTATGTCATATCTCTCTTCATCCACCTTGTCCACACGGGCGTGGAGCTGTCGGCACAAGTCCTGGAGGAGAAGTGTGGTGTGTGCTGTTGGGGGAAGCCTGGGGGCCCGGTGACCTGGATTCCTGGGTCTGAGGGAGGAGGGGCTGGGGGCCTGGACTCCTGGGTCTGAGGGAGGAGGAGCTTGGGCCTGGACTCCTATATGGGAAAGGAGGGCCAGATGGTCCTGAAGGAGTAGATTGGAGCCAGGACTCCACAGACTTGCAAACAAAGGGTGTTAGGGGCCAGGAGTCCCATGAACCGTACAGAATTGGGTAAGGACAGTCATACTAGACCCCTGGGTCTCGAGCAGAAGGGGGGATAGGGACTGTACTGCTGAATTCTGGGGACTAGAAACCTCGGATTCCAGGCTGGGTGAATCCTTGCCTTGGGAGCGGGTACCTGCAGCTCCGCGAAGCTTAGACCGGCCAACTCCAGCGGCTGGCAGCGGGTGCTCAGGGCGCGCCCCTTCTCTCCGCGCCGCTCCTCCGCCTCTCGCTCCAGTTCCTGCTTTGCAATCTGCAGCATCAGGGTCTGCGGAGAGGTGTGAGGTTAGCGCAGCCCAGCCGGGGCATCAGAATAAAGACCAGGCCTGGAGAAGCCGCCCGTGCTCTTCTAGCCGCTCGAGTTGGGTCTCCACCTTTCCAAAGACCCACCCACCCCGTGCGGGACTCCGCGCTAAAGCCACGCCCCGAACGCCCAAGCCCCGCCCACCTGCCCGAAGCCAAACCCACTACCAAGCTCCGCCCCCTGGGCAGCGCCAAGCTCCTTCCCTCTCCCGCCCGTCCTCACCTTCAGCTGCAGTTTTCTCGAGGCGGAGATCTTAGACTTTTTCTGCCAGGGTGAGATGGAGCAAGGAAGGATCATGGAGGGGGATCCGGAGACGACGGTGTAGGGGGCCTCAAGACACCGCCAGCAACCCCAGCCGGTCCAGATTTGGGCCCACCTCCAACTTGAGCGCTGAGTCTATGGGAGGCCACGCCCCTCATTCCCATCCACCAATCCAGGTCTCTGCCTTTGGCTCGGCACTGCCCATCTATCCCTAAGCAGGTCCAAGGGCAACAGAGCTCCGCCCACAGGCGGCTCTCAGCAATCCGAGCGCGACCCTCTGCGAAACTCCGCCCCTGAAGCGCCTCTACGTAGGCCCCACCCCCTTCACTGCCCTGGCTCCTCCCCGCGCCCCAGGGTCTCGGGTCTCTCCCGCTGCTGTCCTCGGCCCCCCGGAAACCCCGTCCCACCTTGGCGTGCGGCTCCATGGCGTACGCGCGGTAGTTGGAGGAGCGGCGTCTGACCGGGGCTGGTGCGGGGCGAGGTTCCCCAGCCTGGGGTGGGAGGAGTGGGGGCCCCATCACCACCAAGACCCCACCCAGCCCTCACCACACCACACCCTCTAGTCCTAGGGCTGCAGCCTCCCCCCAGTCCCCTTACTGCAGCGCCCGCCCCGGCCCTGGGGGTCCCAGCCACGCCTTAGCCCGCTGCTCTCACCGCATCGCTGCTCCTGGAAGGAGAAAAACCAGGGAGGGGGTTAGTGGTGGGCTGTGTCCTGTCTGCCTCCTAAGGGACCCCGGAGACCCCTCTGACCAAGAGATCAGGGGACACCGCTTCCCCTTCCTCGGGTTCCAGGAGTCTGACTCGCGAACCCACTTCCTCTCTTCACCCAAGAGTCCCAACCCTACCACCCGTCGCAAGCCAGGGGTCCAGCCTCTCAGCTCGGACCCCTCTTGGGACCCCGGGAGGTCACCCCAACTCTCATTGCCTTGGGGAGTCACTCACTCATCCGCCATGCTGAGACTCAGACCCGGAATGGCAGGAGGCAGGGAGAGGACAGGGGCTTTTGGAGGGTCAGTGAGGGGGCGGCCCAGGTGACCTTCAAGGTCCCAGGGACCGTGAGTCTCCTCCGGGCTGCTCGAGCCTCCCCGGGGACACTGAGATAAAGGGCGGAGGACAGAGACTAAATATACTGCCTCCTCCTCCCCCGCTGCCCACCATGGGAGATAATGGGGCGCGTGAGGGGCGGGGCGGGCCCTGCTCCAGCTGGATCACCAGCCACCTCGGGGCACAGGAATCCGGATCCTTCTCCCTGGGATCCTGGAGTCCTAGACCTCTCCTCCCTCAGACCCAGAGAATGCCCTTCCTCCCAGCCACCTCCTCCCTAAGACCCAGGACTCTGGGGGACCCCAGCCCCTCCCTCAGACAAGGAGTCTGGGCCCCCAGCCCCCTCTTCCCTCAGACTCAAGGGTCCGGGCCCCCAGCGCCTCCTCCCTCAGACCCAGGAGTTCAGGCCCCTAGCCTGTCCTCCCTCAGACCCAGGAGTCCAGGCCCCCAAACCCTCCTCCCTCAGACCCTGGAGTCCAGGCCACTCAACAATGTTGTGTTTAATTTGGAGTGCAGCTGTGCTGGGGGCCAGCTCTCAGCCTACAGCACTGAGAAATCCATCTCTTGTCCACTTGGAAACCCAGGCATCTGGTTTCTGACCTCTTCTGTCCACCACTCCTAGGCCTTTCTCCCCCAGCCCTGGAGACAGACATAGGACAGCAAAGACACTTGGACACACAGAGGGGTGGACACACTTGCTTTACTCGAACCATCTGGGTGCTGACCAGGCCCTGGTGCGGAGAAACCCTAGACCCCCAGGCAGCCACAGGGTACCTGGGGACAAGGAGGGCAGAAGTGAAGGGCCTGAGACTGAGGGTCAAATCCTAGGCTGGGCTTAGAGTCTCAGAAGTGGAATTTGGAATTCCGAGAGAACAATCTAGAATTCTAGGAATAGACCGCAGAATCCCAGAAATGGAATTTGAAATTCTACCAACACCCCTGGCGTGGGGATGACGGGTACTGAGTGGGAATCATGAGAATAAAGTTGAGGGCTCCAGTGGCAGGCTTAAAATGGTATCAGCGGGTTCTAATTCTACAACCTGACTTTGGAAGCTGGAGATAAGGGGCGTCTAGGGGTCAGGTCAGACTCCAGTTTTGGAGTCTGACTCACTGTTGGGGGGGGGCAAAGCCCCCTGGGGCAGAGCCAGAACCTTGGAGAGTGAACCTGGAGATGCAGAGGGCGGCTGGCAGGGCTCAGAGTGTGGGGTCCCGCCCTGCAGAGGATCGGTCAGGTCCTCGGGGGCAGGGCTACGGGCTTCAAGAGGCTGGGCCAGGACTTCAAGGGGCAGAGTTCTGGGTTCCACAGCTGGGTCAGTGCTGCCCAGAGCCAATTCCGGGGACTTGCAAAAACGTGCGAAGGTCTCTGAGGGCCTGGCCCCGGCCTGTGGAGAGAATCCAGCTGCCTGAGCCAGCTCCCCGACCCGGGTGTTGAAGCCCTGCAGCTGCTCCTGCCGCATATCCACCAGGTACCTGCCGATGGGAAGTGCCACGTCAGAGACCCAGATTCTGACCCCCAGCTAGGACAGGCCCCACCCTCCACCCCACTGGCTCACCGGGCTAATTCCACAATCAAGTTCCCTCCCGGTGCCACACAGGCCCCAAGCTCAGGGCTGAGAAGATGGACCATCCTGCAGAGAGGACAGAGGACAGGCTGAGATTCAGCTCCAAATCCAGAGGGAGGATGGGGCTCTGGGAACCCAGACGCTGAGGGAGGACGGGCTGCAATACTGGAGTCTGGGTCCTGGGGAAGAAGGGGGCAGGAGGTCTGGACTCTGGGGTACCAGGGAGGAGGGGCTGGGGCTGGACTCCTGGATCTGAGGAAGGAGGAGATGGGGGTCTGAGGGAAGAGGGGCTGGGGCCTGAACTCCTGAATCTGAGGGAGGAGGAGATGGGGGTCTGAAGGAGGAGGGGCTGGGGCCTGGACACCTGGGTCTGAGGGAAGAGGGGCTGGGGGTCTGAGGGAGGAGGGGCTGGGGCCTGGATTCCTGGGTCTGAGGGAAGAGGGGCTGGGGGTCTGAGGGAGGAGGGGCTGGGGCCTGGATTCCTGGGTCTGAAGGAGGAGGGAATGGGGCTTGGGCTGCCTCCCCACTTACCCACAGGCCACATAGAGAAGCTGGAACCGGCCGTTGTAGCAGCTCT